TCCTGGTAATTTGATTTCTTTTGCCGCACAGTAACACGTTCATCGTTGAAATCATGTCCTTCTATCATGGGAATATCATGTGTCACCCTCCTCGGACTATAGCAAACCTCTCCGTAGTTCTGATCCCTCTCATGTACAATATCCCTGTTTCTTTCACTGCGTCTCTGAGACATACGTCCAATTTCATCAGGAGTACGGGTGTGCATGGGAGTATCATCAAACCTTACTGATGGACGCCGGTCTGTAACATCTCCCCTAGTATCTTTATGACCAACAATATCACTAGAACGCCGTGTAGTTCCTAAACCAGAGTCCCTAGGTCTATCACCTTCTACCTGTTTAACGATACTGGACAAAGGGGTTGATTGTGATTTGAGCCTAATACTATTTTCCCTTAACGTTGCTATTTTCTCCTCCAAATCACTTATCTCGCTGTCCAAGTCATTCATTGTGAACAACTGATCCTATTATTTCAAAGAATGTAAAATTAAACTACCAACACACTATAATGCCTTTATAGATAAATATATAAAACCACCACAACAGTGACTGGATCCCACTACGCTGCCACCAAAATATATGTAACGGATGCGTGCGTACAGTTCGTTACCAAGTTCTTTCTTGGACCCAGTAATTGTTGTAACAAACAAGTGCCGACAATATATACAAAATAACGGCCGTCTTTCTGACTCAAATAACTATTACCTAATCTACACCCGGTAGATATTTTACATTAATATACCTCTAACACTAATATAGTCAAAAAGACAACTAAAACAACTGTATACAATATATCCGTCACCCTGTATCAACAGTAAATAGCCCCTTACTGCGACACCCGTGACTGTGTACACCCTTTACCGCGACACACCTTGACCACGTCACCCTTTACCGCGACTGCCGTTTGACCAAGTCACCCTATAGCTAGCCACTATAAAACCTATGCCTTGGTAAACCCTGTGTCTTGGTACCTGACACCCTGTATCAACAGTACGTCGCCCTGTACTGTGATACCCTGTGACTGTGCACACTATACTGTAACACAATTTATTTTGACCATGTACTATAAAGGAATACAGTGGAACCCTAGCTTATGCAGCTAGGCCCAAACTTATACAGCTTGGTCACTGATTACCTTTTTAGAGTTGTCCCTTCTTCTTCGACCACCAGAGCAAGAGCAGCTTTTCATCTGATGGAACCTCTATTTATATACCTAGCCATCCAATGAAATGCCTTCTTTCATTAGCCAATCAAAACTACTCTTACTTCCTAATTACAAAGAAATAACTAAAGCAAGTCTATACTAACGATCATTTATTGAACAATGTAATTAACAAAGAATCAACCGCTTCAATGTTTTGCATTCAACATATTAGTCCGAATTATTCTGAAGCTTTATCAACTTTTTTTTATATCGGTCTGTCGTCGATTAACATCAGAACTCCGGCCCTCTATAATATGCGGGAAATGTTATTGATACCACCATCTTTCGATCCATGTGTGTGAAAGTGACGATTTGTTTCTTAAATATCAGTTTGAAGAGCGACCCAGGCGCGGGTCGCTTAATTATTTCCCGCATATTATAGAAGGCCGGAATTCTGACGTTAGTCGACGACAGACTGATATAAAAAAAGTCGATAAATTGTCAGAATAATTCGGACAATCAACAAATATGATGTTACCTGTTGAGGTTTAGTAACCATTGTCTTGGTTTGATGTTCAATACTTGCGTTGAGGACATCTGTAAATGATTCAGTTATCGCTGTGGCCTGCTCTTCTGTGAAACCTGTCATTCAAATCAAGATGACATTGATAAACAAACATTTTGAACAATACTGTTATTTATTTTAATAGATTGTGAGAAATTGACTTTCTGGTTCCTTACTACTACAGAAAATATTATTTCTAGACATGACATTGACTTGAACAATACAATGAATCCATTCTTTTGCTGTCACTGAAAAGAAACACTCAAAGATTAAATATTATGACTGAGTCAATCTAAAAAATAATATTAAGGATTTTTTACAAGTTCATTACTTTACCTTGAGACTTGAGTTTGTTTACCAAAGCCAAGGTATCAAAGTAAAAAATCCTGGATTGTGCATCTAATGTTGGATTAATGGATCTTGCCTCAGGGTTCGTACAATACCATCTCTTGTTCATACAGACTGTAAAAAGAAATGTAAATTAAAATTAAACATATGTATATTTCACTTTCTTTGTTATAGGACTTGCCGTTATATATGGATTGAACAAGATTTTTTTCCAATTTCATACTGGTATGAATGCAAATCAAAACATACATATTCCATGAAGCCTGAGCATGGTAAAAATGTATGCGAACAATTTGCGTTCATACCGGAATGAACATTGAAAAAATGCTGTTCAGTCCTTATATATACATTCGAAATTTTTCACTTAAACAAAGATATTTCCCTTTTATTTTCCATATTAAATTGTCTTTGTCATCAGCTAGTGCAAATAATGTTTGCTTCTAATGGTTGCCAAATGTTAATCCGATTGTGTTCATAGCCCTATGAATGCAATTTCTTATGGTAAAGCTTATAGAAGAACTTGCAGTTGAAATGTCAATATATAAATATAAACATAACTTGAATTACACAATTAAAACTTTTTTAGCAGAAGTTTAGATTTTTTTATAAATACCAATAGCAGCAAGCATTGACAGTGATTTCCTAGATAAAGTTGCTACAGTTTATTGTACAGAAAAGTTACTGCAGGTGTTTAAATTGTTTTTTTAGCTGGATTATTCCAAAAGCATTTTGTTGTTGTTGCTGATTTTGATAAATTCTATACTGTACCTGAAGTCTACCAAGAAGGAAATGTTACTCAATATACATCATAGAAACTGGAAGGTTTTTTTAAACATGTGTAGCTCTTCAAGGCTTACTTGCTTCGCTAAATGAATCGAAACAAGACTGAATCGATCATCGACAACAGGCTGACGCAATGTATTTGCCTTTAGCTTGCCTTCGCCTACCTGCCAATTCCTTGGGTTGTTTGAATACAATATTTCGATTTAGTGTTGCCATTTGTCTTTTTGCACACCTCCTACATCGCGAGATCGGAGGCTGATCTTTCGTCAGAGTTGAATACAACCTGAACACTTTTCTCGAAGAAAAAAACAGACGCCGTGGTTGCAACATCTTTTTGGTTGAAACTCTTTCGCTTTGAAAGGTACGAAAGCATTCTAATGGGAGATACCATTATTTGTAAATAGTTATTTCTTTACTGACACAGTAGACTACATTCTCCATTCATTTACTATTTTATACTAATAAATGACAAAAAAAGTAGCGTTAATCCATATTATACAATACAGTACTATGATAACCTTTTCTGTATCATACTAAAGGGGAGGGGTCATTAATTTCTACAGTTTCAATGTATGTTTTTATATGTTGCCATGATAACGAGTTCGGGCAAAAAGGTTAACGTGCTGCACTTACTTATGATAAGTTAGCCATTAACCAATTTATTAATTCTTCTTCCTATGTCTAAGCAAATAGCAGCATTGAGAAATTAATTCTGGCATACTATAACGTTAAGAGCTGAATTTATTGAGTTTATCTGGGAAGCAAACATAGACATATCGAATATGTTATGTTTAATTAACAAGAAATTAATTTAACACACTGAGCACAGCATGATAGGTGTTTTCCGTTTGTGAACTTTTCCTTTCTTGATAGTCGCATACCTGTTCCTCATCTTGTGTATGTCACAGTTCAAGTTGATCCACAGTATTAGTGTGGGCTTGTTCCAAATTAGTTTCCATGATCGATAGAAGATGTTGATAGACTATCAACCCATGGTTTTGAGAGATGAAGGTTGAAGAAGACTGGGCAAGTTTTATGGTTGCCATCATGATCTCATGCAAATATTCCATTTTCAAGTGGGATATGAATAATGCTCATTAGTGTGCCCTACATGTATTGTTCAATTATGACTACCCAGTCTCTCAATCACTTGGATTTGACGTAATAGTCCTTATTGCTGTGTCCTTCAAGAATGCCTGGTAGAATCCCCTTGTGGTACTTGATTAAAGGTTGCATAAATCTTTCCTTGTTCATGTTTTGTTACTGTTCAATCAATTTGAGCAAAAAAAGTATTTTTTATGCATTTCATCAGTATTCTCTGAATTTAACACATATTTATTGAAATTAAAAGTAAAATATCTATAGATTTTCAGTTATTTTTCCCTCTTGAATTTCGAAATGCAATACGACTCTGAAAAGTTTCACTTATTTGACCTTTGGCATTAAGATTAAAGTCAGTGACCTAAAAGGTTTCACTTGTTCGAATGGCCTTTGACATCATGGTCAACAGTGCACTCCACACATTGTCTTTGGGTGATGCAGGTATACTGCAAGTTGCATAATTTATCTTAAACAGTTTAAAAGTTATGGCCCCGGACAAGAAACTAGAATTTCGTTTTTCAGAACTAAAAAATATGTCTCCCCTTATTAGCCAATAGAAAAACTCTGGTATAAAAAATTAACAAAGGGCCATATCACTTAATATAGTGGGGCACGAGGCCCGAATTTAGAATTCGATACTCCTACTTACCCAAGATACATTAAAACTTTAGCAAGTTTGGTCAACGTAGGTGAAACTAGAACACTTACAGGTCAGTAGGGGCCCCTGTCTTGTGGCAATATATCCCTCATAATAATCTAGAAGCAATCTGCCCATATAGCTGAGCTTGACGTTTGACATTTAAAAAAATCGCAAGGAAGCAAAATATACATATACATGTACTATAATGTGAGTCTTGTTTCCTTCAACTTCCATATTTGCTGGGCTAACAGAAATGTAAATACTGGTGCAATACCCATTTGTTAGCTTTGATTCGTTTTATTTCACCTAAAATACCTCCCCCATCAAGAGCCAGGGTCGAAGTAAGAGATCCACTTTGTATTTGACCTTTGAACCCAAATGACCTTGACCTTTAATCCAGTGACCCTGATCTTTGGTCAGTTGACTCATTCTTCAATTCCGACCAACTTTGCTTCATAATATCAAAACAAAATGTTCATCAGTAAAAAATAGAAAACTTGACCTTGAACCTTTGGAAACCGTAACCTGGACCTTTGGTCAGTTGACTCTGTGTTAAGTTCTGAACAACTTTGCTTCATAATGTCATAACAAAATGTTCATCAGTGAAAAGATACAAAATTTGACCTGGACCTTTGACCAAGTGACCTTGGGTCAATGAATTCTTGTTTCATTTTGACCAACATTGCTTCAAAGTGTCAAAACGAAATGTTCACCTTCACCTTTGACTGTGGGTCAGCTTGACTCCTTGATTAATTCCGACCAACTTTGCTTCAAAGTGTCATAACAATATGTTCCCCAGTGAAAAGATACTGAATTTGACCTTAACCTTTGACTCAGTTGACTCTTTGTTAAATTCCAACAAACTTCGCTTCATAATGTCATAACAAAATGTTCGTCCGGGAAAAGATACAAAATTTGACCTTGACCTTCAAACCAGTGACCTTGTTGGTCATTTGATACCTTGTTTGATTGTGACGGATGAATAAGTATAGGGCACCCACATCGAACATGGAAGTTATGCTGTGGACAAACTTCGGTATCAAAATTAAACAATGGGCCATAACTCTGTATATAGTGATGCACGAGACCAAATTCCAGTGCACTGCACACCTTCTGTGAGTGACGTAGGTATACTTCAAGTTTGATTAAGATATCTTTAACGGTTTGAAATCTAGGGGCCGGACAAGAAGTTACTGAAAATGTGCACTTATTTGACCTTGAGGTGAAGGTCACAGTGACCCAATTCCAGTGCACTGCAAACCTCCTGTGGGCAATACATGCATAACTAAAGTTTAATCAAGATATCTTTAACCGTTTAAAAGGTATGGCCCAGACAAGTCCGATTAGAAGAACCAGTACTAATACAATATGTCACCCTTCATTCGAAGGGAAGACATAATTATTAAAAGACTAGGAGAATTATGGCTCTGTAATCTAGACGAGAAAGAGCATAATCAAAAGTTCAGTGTGGTCATTCAACAGAATTTATGAAATTAAGAAGAAAACTACTTTACTGGACAAGTTTCCTTCTAAAGAGACACTGACATACCACCTCATTACAGTTTAATAAAAGATGACTGATTAAAAACCAAGACAATTGTTTTTGTAAGAAAACAAAATCTGAAGAATTTTAGAATTTAATGAATTTTATTTCGAAACCTTTTGTCTGTGAAATAAGTAGTAATAGGTGATAGTAATAGGGTGAAATAATTACATTGAAATAGACACAATACAAAATATACAAAAAGAAATGAGACAGAGAGAGAGAGAGATAAAAAAGAACATGTATATTAAGTAAAAACAGTCCTAGATAACGCATCCATATCAATATAATTCATGTGGTAAAAGTAACAGACTGGTGCAATGTATTACGCATGTATCATCATTTTTATTGTGTGATAGATAATAGAATTAGGACAGGTAACCAAAATTTCAAAAAACAACAACATTATGCATCAGTAGAGACCATTCTCTTAGTGTATACAAAATTATCAAAGTTTTTGTGAAATTGAGGTAAACTGTGTGACAGTAGTACTAAATGGCATTGGCTTTATAACAGAAATATTTGGTGCAGTAAATTTGCATGAAGGATGAGCATATTTTGCAGATGGATTTTTTTTCTAACCAGCAAGCCAAGTTTCATATCTCCCATATACATGTACTGATATATTAGATTAGCTCAGACACAACTTGAGGCAAAATTTACTAATATTATGGCAAGAATAAATACCCTTTTCCTTTGTTAATTAATAATAAACAGAATTATGTTCATGAAAATCACTTTGCAAATTGCTAGAACATGACAGGTTTTATAGGGGATATTTTAGTTGTTATATACAAACTGCTAAAACAGGACAGGTTTTATAGGGGACATTTTAGTTGTTATATACAAATTATGACAAAACCTCCACTTAACCTCTGCTTATATAAAGTTACCAATTTTAAAAGTGTGTAAAAATTAATTTCATATATTTTTTTACTTTAAATCATAATTAAAAAATTCTATAAGTACCAAAAGAGACATTTTAAATCAATTTCCTTTTGCTCTTTTAACTTCGCACATACCGATTAGTCTGAACAAAGCAATCTGTTGAAATTGCAGAGTACATATCTGTCAAGTAATAAAGCCAAACTGGAGATCGAACCAAACTGTCAACCCAGTGTTTATTTTTTAATTTACAACCTTTTATTTTAAATGTTTGAACAACACTCAGAGCACTTCAGTTTTATCATTTATACTGAAATGTAAGCTATTCTATATCATAAAATGGAAAACTCCCGTCAGGTAAAATCAAATGTGCACAAAAACAAATATTTAGAAAGAAAAAAAAGGGTTTAACTAGAACACTGATTAGTCAACAAGACCCTGCCATGCCCCTGACCATATATATATCTCCCATTCTCATCAAGAAGATCCCACAGCAATCATTATGGATGTTAGAATAGGCAATTTGAAAATTCCAGTTATTTTACTTCCATGTATGAACAAAGTCAGATCAGTAGAATAGAAAATATGGCACAAATTTTCTCGATCAAGTGGGAGTCAAGATGGCCATTTTAATTGTCTGATCTAGAAATATGACCTTATTCAGCATGTACTATATATGAAGGCTGCTCCACCACCAGGTCCATAACAATCCACTACAAGATAAGTTCAATTAAATATCCCTGATCTGTTTTCAGTATTTAGTGAATTTCACTGGTGGCACTCTTGGAATTTTGAATCCTAGTAATAAAGATTTATTCACAATGGATACATTCAGCAAATACTGTTTACCAACAAAATAAACACTGGCAGATCAGAATTGTAATACTGAGGTATTTTTGACAGTATAGTTCCTACCCCAATTCTGTTTTCAGTAAGTGACCTTGGCTTTAACTATTGAAACAAAGCATCTACATAGAAAAACACCATTTAAAGATTCAGAAATTTGAGACATGGATTCCGAGATAATCCCTGAAAACAAAATTGATGGTGGCACCCACATTTCTGTCAGATCTGGGGCCTGTCCTAATAAATCAATCAACTTTCCTGTTTATAATGATTTGAATTGCCGTTTTTCATTCCTGCATAGTTGCACACATACATGAATTACGCACCTACTGCAATTAAACGAACATTTGCCAAAAAATGTATCTGATTTCCTGTCATGATTTCGCATATTAAAAAAAAGTATTGTGGAAATTATGCAAATAATATTTTGTACAAAGTTTAAGTAAAATGTAAGTGTCTATATATATAAGCTTTCAGGTCCATGTTTACCATCAAACATGTCAATAAATTATTGCACAATAACAACAGTCCAGTGTAGACCTAGATCATATTCCTGTTGGCACCTGTAATTCTGCTACGACGATTTACTTTGGACATCTTTCTTGTACTTTTCGTGTAGATGTTTTTTGTAGGCACTCTGGTTTTTCCACAGGTCAGCAGCATGTATGTTGAGGGGACTGTCAATGTTAGGTTCTGGAATTGAGGATAATCATTGCGAGTTTTTGAAGCAAATGGCATGTAAAAATAACCATGATGCACCAAGTAGGGCCGATTTCAAGTATTTACAAATTGGCCATTTTTTTTTTGTAACTTTGAGCACAAAAGATAAAATCTGTATAGGTGACAGAGACGCAGGATTCATTTTTGTGTACTTTGACACTACTTCCCACAAATTATCTTTTGAGTTGTTTACATTTATATTTATTTTTTCATAAAGATGTTTAAACTTTATTGTCATATAATTACCTATTGATCTAGAGACACCCTGTCTAAAATGTGATGTTAAATAAAAAAAAACACTTTGACCTTTTACCATTATTTGGAAATATATTGTATTGAATCAAGTCTGAGATGTTTTATTTGACATAAGCTCCTAACAATATCATGTATTAGCACTGCATAGTCAAGCACTATACACCCTCAGTACACTGGTGAATGGTAAATACGTGTCATTAGCGACCAAAGGTGGCTATACTCATCACTTTCATTGTAAAAGATAATGATGTTTAAACCGTTTCAACCATACCACAGCCATTTTCAAAGAGAATCGAAAATGATCTCGAGATTTTTTTTTTAATTTGTGCAAAATTTCATACTTTACACCCTTATGATTCATTCATGCAGCAAAACATATAATTATATTTAAATATTACATGAAAAAATATTTCATTCAAATATTTCCTGGATGTGTTGAAATGGAAGATGATTTTAAGTTCACTGGCTAGTAATAAGGCGATGTTCTTCTGTATATTGCTATATTTTTGTCACTAGTAAAATGATGAAATGGCCACCATGGTTGTTATTGCTTCAAATGTTTCAGAAAAACCAAACCAAAACAAATATCAGCAATAGAAAAAAGTTCAATGTTGGACATGTTCGATAACCCAGTAGTATAGATCCTTAATATTAAAACAATACAAAGAATTTATTTTTACCTCCTAAAAGACTCTGAAGTGAAAGGAGTATGGTTCGAACATCATACAAGGCTGACCACTTCTCCTTCAGGATGTCCAGACAGATGTTACCGTGGTGATCGACATTAGGATGGTAACATGGCGAGTCAAACTTGACTGTTGGGGCTTGATAGGGGTAGCTGCTGGGGAACTCAAGGATAAGCTTGTAACGAAGGCCCTCGTATACCTAAATAACAAAGAGAGGCAATAAAACACACATACATTTAAAAAAGGCATACACCTACATATATAATGATAGCATATATATCAGTATATTTTGTGCAAGGAGAAATGCTAAAATTTCAGTTGCCACTTTGAGCTTATCAAGATCATTTTTCATCAGAAAGACAGCTGTAGATTTTTTTTATTTTAACTGTCACATACTTGTCTACCTTTTGAAATTTCCATTGTGTAGATTTGGCAAGCACAAAATTATAATTATATAAGCACAAATAAAATGTCTGTATGTACCCTACTAGGGACACATGTACTAGGAATCAATTGTTCAGCAAATTCACTGCTGGAAATATTAAATTTAATGGTCCAAATTCTGGCGTCTCTCTCCTAAATAGGGAGGGTTGCATGGCTTCTATGCAGTCAGGTGCCTGGATGCAGAAATACTGTACCGTTCCTGTGGCTCCATCCAATGTGGCTCTCCATTTGAACAAATTGTCACCATCAGGAAACGCTGATATCCCTGTGTTATTGGATGTCTGGAAAACACAATATTGATACAACAAACATTTAAGAATACTTATAGCAGACATAGCCCTAATTTCTCTCGAGAAATGTCTTCACGTACATTACTTTTTAAATTTATTTTCAATACAAATCGGTTAATGACAACCTTTCTCCGTTTCATTTTAAATGATGAGTATTTCTGCACATTAGGGGAGGAAAATAAGAGGCCTGAGGGCCCACTGATTTATAAGGTAAAGTAAGTAATGCACTGCCTGGACTCAGGTTTTGGTAAAATTTTCATGTCATTCATACACGTTCAGATCTGTTGTTTTAAGTCAGAGGTGCAAAGTGAAACATGCAGAACTTTTAAAGTTTACATTCTCACCGAGACAACAGGTACAGACCACAGCTGTTCTATGGCCATCCCACAAGATATGATACTTATAACAATCTACACGTATACTGAGCTGCAGTACTATACACACACATGTATAAACTTGCCTTTTAGCCGACAGATGATCAATTTCCTGGGATAAGCTTGGAAGCATAGTAAAATGATTAAGCTCAATAGCTTATGACCATGATGTTGAAAATGATCAACAGATAATTGCATGTGGAATAGACCATAGCAGAAATTAATAGACCCCTTAGTCATGTTCAGTTATTGTACAACTTACCAAAAGTGTCATCAGCTCCTGCTGCAATCTGTAAATTAAAGGTTAAACCATTTAATATCAATTTCTTTACCTTAATGAATAATTCCACTAATATTGCTTTATTCCTTGTACATATGGTTCCAGAGACTGAGTAGAAATGATTTAGAAGAATCAGACATTTATTACAAAATGAATATATCTGTCACTATCAATTAAACTGGAACTTTAGAGAAACAGGATGACTTTTTGGGGCTAAAATACAATGAAATAAGAAACTAAGAAAGTTTCAGCTGTATTAACAGGTCCAATATACTCTGTCGATTGAGCTGTATAGCTATAAAGACCTATATAGCTATATACACCTATAAATTATAGCTGTATTGAGCTATATTTTCTCAGATTTAAATTTTCATTAAATTAAAGAAAAGTTGCATAAAACAATAAGGTTTATGGTAATGTTGACTACAAAAAACATACAGTTAGATGTTTATTTTTCATAAATGTAAAATTTCCAATTTTTTTACATCATTATTTTCTAAAAAGAATACTTATATTTAATGTCTTTTGTTATCAACCTAATGATACAATATTCTTTCAAAAGCGACTTTGTTTCGTTTTCCTTAAAAAAGAAAGTCACTTGAAAATAGCTCAAAATCCCTATTCAGATAGGTCAATAGAGCTATTATAGGTCTTTACAGCTATATAGCTCAATCGGCAGAGTGTACTGGACCTGATTAATTCACATCACATTAGTGTTGGTCGCCCTCCTACTCTGTCATTTTCATCAGACAAATGATCAGTGAAGGAGACAAATGATCAGTGAAGGGTATACACACAAAGGTGTAAAAATGTGCAAGAGTTGTCCACAAATCAATGTCGATTCGGCTATGCCGTAAGCGTATGTACAATTATTGTTATATGTACCGAAATTACCTGATTCAACTACGCTTTGTTTAATTAGAACTTGGTCATAGATGTGCGAGTCTATGAGCCCTCTCATCTCGATTTAGAACTGGCCCACTGCAGCATATCCAGATGGCTTCCTTTATCCGACGCTTGAACAGATTGCTCTCTCTGTCCAAAACTTTGGAGTATAAACCCAGTCAATTTCATGGTTTTTCGAGATCCGAGTGGCATGATCTGTGATTGTCAATTTATTTATCTTGGACTCAGACTCCTTCATTTCTGATCGGGTTAATTTCTTTCTTTCTTGGGTTAATGTTTCAGTATCTTTCTGGTGCTCACCCAAAATCGCATTCCAGTCTTTTCAATATACGATGCGCCACAGTTTTTGCATCCAATTTTAATTTTGTATACACATTCTGCAACATTTTCTTAATGTGTAAGGTGTTTTATCCTTATTTAGGGTGTACTAGGATATGACAATGCATCTTGTGGGAATTTATGGCTGTTAATTGCTGTATGCCATGACCTCGATATATCCTCTCGATGGTTTGGGATATACCTTTTATATACGGAATGACCTCGTGACCTTTGTTTTGTTCTTATCCTTGATTGGCATTTTCTTGTTCTTCCTCTAGTGACACTTATTCCTACATGCCTTACTCTCGCACATGTATGTGGGGTTTTTTGGATCTAGTTTGCTGGAAGTGTTTAAAAAGAAATTTTGGGTGTTTTATTTAACTTTATTCCCCATTTCAATGATAAAATTGTAACTGAAATGTGTACCTGCAGGATTATTACCCATGGACATGGCATATGCGCCGTTGTGCCCAGCCGGTCAAATCTATATCAGTGATTCACATAAATTTGTTTTTAATCATTTATCATATTTCACAATAAAGAAAAATTGTGCTTTTTAACCGATGTCTAGTGAAATCACACTAGAACCAGAAGAACACAGGTATCCACAAAATAAAGTCATGTAATGTGCTGACCGATCCGCGACTACCACGTACGTCGGTTGCGACACTAGTTGAAGAAATTCCGGTCATTCATTAAAAATATACCTTTTGCTGACGGAATGATTGTCTTTTGCTGAGCCCGATCTTTCTGTATTATCCTTGTTCCTGTTGGAAGTGGATGAAGCCATGGGGTCAGTATTTTGGGTTGCCATTTTACCGTTGTCAGTGCAGCTAGTGTCTGAAAGGCTTCTGTTTGAAATTCGTATCTAGGAATTCACTATCCAATCAAATTTTACTTCCGTGTCTATTAACCAATCGCTGGGACTATATCATACGCTTTGACGATCCAACATGTCTGCGCCCAGTAACATTCTTCAACACTCAAGTTTGATGCAATTCAGTTGATGTTGATAATTGCCAAATAAATAATAGCCACTCAAAAAATACCATATGATAAATATTGCGTAGGCTGAACAGAACACTACGAGCTCAAATGCAAACAGTGGTAATAAAAAAAAAATCTCGCTACGGTGAAAAGGGAGGTAACAACACGGCAGCTGTGCATGTGGTATCAGGTCGTTTTGGTAACAAGACGAAAGTCGTATCGGAACATGTGAAAAGTTATTTTGGGATTAGAATACAGTACAAAAAATAATCATAGATTCTAATATGAATAATAAATTAAAATAAAAATTAACATTTTATCACGATCAGAAAAATCAATAAAAATGTGCAACTTAGAGAAAAAAAGTAGTTTTGATGATTAATTTGACAATATGTTAAACGGTACATACTTGAAACTAACAAACAAAACACTTGTCCGGGCCATTGTGGCCATTAGGCATATAAGGCGAATTTCCTTTTTTTAAAAGTGTACTGTATTCGAGTTGTAATTCTTTTTTGAACACTTGACGTATTGAATCAAATTGCCGCATCGAAATGTATGACGGGTTCCTACGCAGGTGCAATTTGTTGAAAAATGTTATAACAATTTCTCTCAAGGAATTTTCTTTCAAAGTAAATGTCACTATTTAGGCCGTTAATCCGTTTGCATGACATTAAATTAATTCAGGGTTTAAACAAAAATCACTTTCGCGATATCTAAATCACAAAATAAAATATATGTTCATATCCATTTTCCAAAACCGTTTCACAGTGATAAATTGGACCTCCACATCTTTAAAATCATTTTAGCTGTTGATGCAAAACTCTGAACGACATAACAAAACGTTTTTTATTGAAAGTTTTTGATTCGTAAGTTCTGTAAGAAAGTGATCCTGACATTTTCATACTGCGCAAATTGTAACAATTTCAATATATAGGTCCTTATTAATGGTCGTTAAAGGCAGTTATTATCTAGGAAATCATATAAATCCTTTTTAGCTCATATGTTCTGCTTTTATCTCAACTGGATAAGAAAATGAATGTTGTTTTTTTTATTTGTTTATTTTCAAAGTATTTTTCACATTACAATAACATATATATTTCATTATACATGATGAATTCCACTTTCACACATACTTTCATACTAATTAATATTGCTTTTTTTTGTAAGTGGTATTTTAATTTTTTGTAATGTTATATAAGAAAGGAAAGAAAATCGGATAAGAGAAACAAGAAAACAAAGCATAGTGGAAATAAAGACAGGTAAATGGACAGAATGAAAGACAGACAGACAGACAGACGGACGGAAAGATAGACAGACAAGAGGAGAAGTACCAGTATTAAACAAATCAATGTAAAGGATAGAAGTCTGGTAATAATATAGGTGTCAGTAGCTAAGTAATTAAGATAATACATTGTATGTTTCAATTTTGTCCCTTTTTTATTCAAAGAAGTTTAAATACGATCAAACATATAAACATATAATCGGCAAAATGTAGGTCTATGAAATATCAATAAGCATTTTCCATTTTTCCCATTCATTCTGGAAGTTAATGAGATATTTTTCGTCTTTACTATTTGCAATATATTTTTGAATACTGTAATGTTCTTTAATTGAATTTGTAATTCCTTGTATAGATAAAGGCACTTGAAGACATCTTGCCTTGTATATATACTGTTTTATTATTAAAATAGTACTATCGTCACTTTTATTAATTCCATTATAGTTATAAAAACCAAAACGAAATGTTTGTTTATTATAATCAAATGGAATAATCAATGCATCTAATAAGAACTCAAAATTTTGTGAAAGATTTTGTACTTTGTCACATTCCCATAATACATGCTCTATTGTTTCTATTTCTAGTTTACACAGTTCACAGTAAGGGCTATCTACTATTCCTGCCTTAAACAAATATGCATTAGTTGTCAAAATATGCTGATTAATTCTGTACTGGAACCACTGTAATTTGGTATTTTTCGTAATTTTAAATGGCATTTTATATTTTTTTTCCAAACTTCATCATCAAATTGAAATACATCATCCCATTTTTTTTACCTGTTGAAATAGTATCATTTTTACAAAACAAGCTATAAAAATCTCTTATCCCCTTTTTATTTTTCAAAAACACTTCTATATTAATTGGTATAAATGGATAGTTAACCTCTACATTTGACCTATCTTCTTGTATTATATACTCTCTAATGGCTGTAATTAGACCCTGGTATCGTAAAAAGTTTGTATTAATATCATAAATCTTTTTGAATTCTTGAAATGTGTAAAAAGCATAGATATTTCTGTCTCTGATTAGATCATCAATTACAATTATTCCTTTATTGTACCATTCCCTGTAAAATATACTTCTATTTTCTATTGAAATATTTTTGTTATACCAGATGGGCATTTTTAACTTACTGCTAGGGGACTTTTATTTTTCATTAATTTTTCTCCATGCCTTAAATACATCAATCCAAAATAGATTTTTAGTTTTATTTTGACATTTTGAAATATAATCAGTTCCACAATTTGCCAGAATGTTTTTATCACAATATAATTTTAAAATCACTTGCCATTTACCAGAATTCATATATAACCTCCTAACCCACGTTAATTTTAAGAGATAAAAAGGTGACTGAATTGTGAAATTAATAATGATTTTATGATATGTATCCTACCAATAGGAGTCAACAATCTTCTTTTCCAGGTTTTAATCAAAGTTTTGAGTGTTACAAATTTCTTATCGTAATTCAATTTTTTTATCTTATGTAAGTCTACATCAAACTCAATACCTAAAAGTTTAAATTTCCTATCCCCTCACTGCAAATTCAATTCAGGATAAAGAATTTTATCACTGTATTTTTTACTACCTATCCAAATGTGTTTTTTCTATGTTTACTTTAAGTCCAGAAATATTTGCAAAACTTTTCAATTCTTTAATTGTCTCTTTTAATGAAATTTGTGTGCCATCTAAAATCAATGTAGTTTCATCAGCATAATAGGAAAGTAAAAGTGGGCAATTGTCAATATTAATACCATTTATATGTTTATTATTTCTCAGTCTTACAGCTAAAATTTCAGCGCATAATATGAATATATATGGTGCTATTGGATCCCCTTGCCTGAAACCACTTTTAATATCGAAAAAAGATGATAAATTTCCCCCTTGATTTATTGCAGATTTTGCATTTGTATGGTATTTAATACTTTGGGGTCATGGTGGACATCTCAAAATTTTATTCAACACAAAGATGCAAAATAATAGGTATATTCTAGTAGACCTTTTCCCAGAAGCTACGAACCGGGACAATACAAACGGGTCAAAATGCCTTAATTTGACTCGATTATTTTAAGATAAACAACTTTTCGACAATTCGTGCATTGCTTTTCTGATATTTTGGGTCGTGATTTATTAAAAGAACAAAACTAATCTGTATGGAACGTAATATGTTGCTATATATTTCTGGAATAAAATATTTATTTACAATTTCTAATATCTGAGCAATGTAGACACAGAGGACCCTGTCTTCTCCACCTGGAAGTTGTACAAGGAAATGCTGATGCCAAAGGGAGCTGTTGCACTCGAGAACGTGCCCCCAGGTCCCAACCTGTTTGATACATGTATTCCAACAACCGTCATTCTGCGATGACCAAGGAGAGAGTTGGGAAATTCTTCGACTCATTGGGGAAATTTGTGAAGGACCACGATCTAGAGGGAAAGAATATTTGGAATATGGACGAAACGGGACTTACATTAGTTCATTAACATGGAAAAGTCGTTGCGACCAACGATAAACACGTGTGCAAATGCTGACAGGGGTACTGTTCCATCCCACGTGAGTATACCGGGGAAAACCCGAAGAAGTCTTCAGAGTTATAACATTGAAAGTCTTAAAAAGTCTACAATAAATTAATTGAACAATTTGAATATCTCTCTCGCTGAAAGTTGGTGGACAAAAGACGGCATAAAGAGGCTCTGGTTCATATAAACCTTTCTTCCGTGGATAGTAGCTGATGGTCCACAGTTGTTGATGTGCGACGGTCACAGTTCTCACAACAACATCGAACTCATTGAGCTTGCCCGAAAAGAAAATATCATCGTGATTGAACTACCAAGCCACACAAGTCATTGAACTCAGCCCCTTGATAGAAGCTTTTTCAAATCACTGAAGAACAAATGGAACATCGAAATCGACAATTTCATTCAGATAACAGGGGTACCTGTAGGGCATGGACAGTTCTTCCGAATGTTTTGTAAGGCTTGGGAATCGGCCAATGAACCGTTGGTTATAGCGAAAGGGTTCAAGGCAACATGAATATCCATGTTAATACACATGCGATCACGACTGAAACCTATACGCCTGCTAATCTGTATTCAGAGACGCAAGAAACCTCCAATCTGCCAATCCTTGCAACAGAAAAAGTTCCCGAAGCAGATGTCCTGGGCATTCAGACAGACAATTCAGAAATCGTCAACTCTATCTCCCTCTCTGTGCCTTTAATCGACTCTAACTCCACTTCAGTCGTTTTGACGGACTTAGCTGTCATGACCTACCTTTGCTCTTTGACATTACAAGTAATACTGATTTAAGTTTTGATTAAGAGCATCTTGAAATAGCTAATTGTCTGACGAGAAGGCTTTAGATGTCACTGAATCAACCATAAACCTAACACGATTGCTAGAATTCAAGGCTGCATATATGAGCAATGTAGACACAGAGGACCCTGTCTTCTCCACCTGGAAGTTGTACAAGGAAATGCTGATGCCAAAGGGAGCTGTTGCACTCGAGAACGTGTCCAGCTCCCAACCTGCTTGATATATGTATACCAACGCAGAGAGTGGCGCTACCGAAAAAACAACCTGTGAGAAACAAGCCAGAAAGTCAATATTTCGTTATCACT